GGCCCACAGTTCCTCTCCCTCTCTGGATCCAAAGTCCCCAGCAGCTCCATCCCTCCATGTAATCGTCCCTGTCTCCATCTCAGGCATCCCTGCTTCTCTGGGTAGGGTCCCACTCTCTGCTCTTATCCGTTGGTGGTCCCAGAGACCTCCGCTCCTAGACTGGAGAAATAATCGCTCTCTTCCTTGCTACAAAATATCTACCCTTGCATTTCCAACACTCACAATCCGTCCTGATAACCATTATTCACTACAGTATCGCATGTAACCCACCTGTATTTCATTTCATCAGCTCCACCTAGACAGATTGGATAGTACTCACTGGTGATTCTGCCTTCCTCCATGCCCCCTAGCTCTAGGTTCCCTCTTGAAGGCTTGTAAGCCAGTCACTTCTTGTGAAGGGCCAACCTTTAAGCTAGTAGTCTAGCACTTAACAATTTGTATATATACAGATTGTTCAATGAGAACACACCCTTATCCCATGCAAGCCAGTTACTCTGCACCCTGTTACTAGATTTGGTTTATGATTCCTTTTTGTCTGTCTGTTTGTTTTACTAATAAAATAGTTAACATAATTATCCCTTTATATTTACAAACAACCTTTAATCTGTTAGCCTTCTAGATTTAGAGAATAATATTACTGGATGAGGCACTATTTCCTGTGGTAGAGAGCCTGGCTTTGGAGACAGTTTGGGTGGAATTCCTGGCTTTGCCAGTCATACTAATAAATTCACATTTGGACAAGGTCCTTCAGTAGAAGAAGGTCATACTAATCACCCTTGTTATAAGGAGAAAAGGAAGCCCAAGTAGTCCCGGGTTATGAACACCTGACTTACGTACAACTGTATACCCGTAGTTCAGAACCAACCCCTGTAGAGATTATTCTATTAAAAATTTGAAGTACATACGAGGGGACTTCAAAAAGTTCATAGAAAAATGGAATGAAAAGCTAATGGGATTTTTCGTGAGTTTTTTGAAGCCCCTTTGCACTAGGTTTGTAATAACAAATGGGTACTACTTTGCAACATGCATCAAAACATTATTATTGTAAACATTTACCCAAATCACAATGAACGATTTTTAAACCGATGATGATGATTAGTACTGTATGATTATGTTAAAGGCAATTTAGTGTACCTGAAAGTGTTTCTTTAACATTTTTATATGCATAGAAAGACACACTGTATACTAAGACAAACATTTGACTATTTGATGGTAGGTATGAGCCAAACCATAAGCCAGATTAGGAAGAAGGAGAAGCAGATTATTTGTGACTGTTTAGCCACTGACACCCTTATGAACAGCAGTGGGACACTGTCAGAGAGCACCCGAGTACTGAATGCTGAAACATGATGCACCACAATATTGTCAGATATGGTGCCAGAAGATTGGAAGGCACTCAAAATACGACCGGGGAAAAGCTGCTTCCTCAAAGTAGAGTTGACCGTGATGATGCCAATGGAGTAAAGCCTTTGGGACCTTCATTTGCTGATGGGGCACAACTCAAAATGAGGAGAAACAACTGTAAATATCCACTAATAATTGGAACATGGAATGTACAAAGTATGAATCTATGAAAATTGGGAGTTGTCAAAAATAAAATGGGATGCATAAATACAATATCCTAGGCATTTTGTTGTTGTTGTTATGTGCCGTGGAAT